CCGATTTCACTTCATGCCCCAGCAGCTTTGCATTTAGTTCTGCTGCGGAGGCTGCATGCACCTGCCAGTCAGCAGGCTTCATGCTCTGTTACCCTTCCTAAAGGCAGATATGAAATGTCAGTTCTCAGCCAGGAAAGTGTTTCTGCCTTGGTTTCTGCTGAACACCAGGGTGGGTGCCTGGGGTGGAGATGAGGGCCGGACCCCCCCCTTATCTCCTTGATCCCCTTACCCGCTGCCGGTGACCCCGGGGCAGTAGGTCCAGCAGCATTTCCCTGGCCAAAACCGAGGTCTTCTCTTGCATATTTGACCACTGTGCCTCCCTATCTTCTGCAGAAGGAGTTGATCTAGAGCCTGAGGATGCTGTTCCCCAAAGCACGCCTTTTGGGCAAAGAGGACAACAGCCGTTCTGGTTCAGTGAAGGAGTGGCTGGGTTGGGCTGGGTACCTGTTGATTGCCCTGTGACTGCACCGCACACTAACGAGTCTTTCACCCCTCCTTACTGACACTGGAAGGTTGGGGCCGCTCTCTTCGCTCCTTTTTCCCTGCAATGTGAACATCTTTTTCTTTGCGTGCCTTTTTTTGTAGCTATGCTCCGAGTTCCCCAGGGCAGGCGAGGGGCCTCCCGTGGACACGGCTTCGGTGGGACCCTCTAACCTTGTGGGTTTGTGGAGTGTGGGTGAACAACCCTTAGACAAGTTGCTGAGGAGCGAGGTACAGTGAGAGCCCATGGCTGTTTGCTGCTCGCTGGAGTGGTCTTGGCCACAGAAACAAGGGGAGCATGTGGCAGCATCACCCACCACCTACAGTTAGACACTTAAACTTTATTGTTTTAATTCACGCAGGACATCAAACTGCAATGGCTGTGATCAGTGTAAAGGGCAGCTGGTTCTGGTAGATCATATTCCGTGATATTTTCACCCTGGATAAAACAGTGGATCTGATTTTGGGGTAGAGGGCAGGAATCTGTACATGCAGTATGATGCAGACTGTAGCATTTCGGGGGCTGCCTTCATTTCAGCAGGAAGGTGTCTGACAGCTGAGGCCAGCCTGGCTCACTCCTAGCACTCCTCCTCCTCCTCCTCTGTCACCAGTTTTGGTCATTCCAGTTTCAGCTGAAAGTAACTGTTTGCATTTGCATTGTTCTCCTCGTCACATCTTCAAAATGCAATGGGAGCTGATGCTGAACAAGCGGATCTGCTTTCCCTGCATGATGGTGTCTGTCCCCGGCAAGAGCTCTCTGGTGCTGAGCCCAGCTGGTCCTGAGCACTGCTAGTAAACTGCTGCCCCACAGAATTTCAGATCTGGAGGGCAGGGATCGGAGGCACGTTGGCCACGTCCCTGCGAGCTGGCGGTGAGCAGGGCTGTTGTATCAGGTTAGGTCTTGTCCGTCAGTACCACTCAACTCAAATTCTGCCCTGGGGTAAAAGTGCCCTGACCCCGCTGGCCAGGAACAGGGGAGCAAGTCAAGGAAAAGGATAGCGGTTTCATTTCTGAAACAATGTTGGTTTTGACTTCAGACTGTTTGCAGTGTGGGTTGTGAATCTTGGCAGGGACAAAAGCCGTGGGACAGTAAAAGTGAGGTCAGTTCCTTTTCTTGGCTGTAGCAGTGGGTGCAGCATTGCAAGGCCACCCCATGGAGTGGTGACATCTTTCTGGGCAGCGTTGATTCTACCTGGGGAGAAGCGAAGCCCTGAAGATGAACTGGATCACATCACCTCTGGCCAGATGTGTTTGTGTTTCCTCACCGTCAGCCCCGCTCTCCCTCCTGGGGCAGGCCGCTGCGGTTGGATGTAAGGAAGCTCCCAAGGAGCACATCACAAATATGTACAGAGCGTGAGGAAGAACCTGGGAGATAAAGCAGGTTCTCAGCCCCCTTCCCTTGTACCCTGTGTTCCCTCGCAGGGGTCGATAATGTGACCAACGCAAGGAGGGGCTGGGTTCTCTCTCCCTCCCCGGCGCTGAGTCCTCTGATCCCACGCGGACTGGGTTGCCGCTTCCCATCTCTGCCGTGACCCACGTGTCGGTGTCATCTTCCGTAGGTGCTGGGTGAGGACTCCATGGGCTGCTGGTTCATATCCTGCTGATGCCAAATGAACATTCGAGCTGATTAAAACTCTAAGTGGCATCAATGGAGGGATTAAAAGCTCTTGAACAAGCCCCCGAAACAACTTGCGTCAATGGGGTGAGCTCGGGGCTGCTCAAGCAAGTGCCTTCCCTGAAAACGCTCCTGCTCCAGGGAAGCATGAACAGAAACGCTGCCCTACTTGCTAATGAAACTGCACCACAGGAGGAATCTTCCAGAAAATTCCTTGTGCAATTGCCCCTGACCTGATGTCCGGGTGCCTCTCACAAGCCTGCCTTCTTAAACAGAAAGGCTTTTTTTCTGATTGCAGCCTGCAAA